CTGCCAAGGCTCCAGTGTTTTCTTGATTGGGGACCACCTGGTTACATCCAAATCATGGGATACCCCACCCACTGGCCTGGTCCTACTTGTGTCCATATTTACCTGCTGGAGACACCTCGGCCCTGCTGTCTCCAGGCATTTGGTAAAGCCCAGTTTGGCACCAGCCAAGACCTGTAGCAAGAGTCTGGACACCCTTGGGAAATGCTTGAGGCTATATCCAGGCCCTGGTTTGCTTTGGTTATCGTTAATTGTCATTAATTAGCATCAACTGCATCCTGGATGGCAAGAAGGAATGTAATATGAGATGGGAAGTACAATGAGAAGAGGCAAGATAGGGCTGTTAAGAAAGAAAAGAGTGATCTCTGGTCATGGCAGGGACAAGAAAAAGCAACCAGCTTGGGGAAAACCTGGAAGATTTAGGATATGTATTGTGGGAAGATTTCCAGCTAATAGGAGATTGAAACCCCACAAAAGGCTGTCACAGAAGGTCTAAGACAGTCTGAATGCACTGGAGCACCTTCAGAAGATGCTTTAGGGACACCAATCCAGGGTGACAAAGTGAATGGTGAGGAGAAACCCATCCTGTGCTGCATCCAGTAATTGCTGACATCTCTCACACCATGATAACAGAATGTTTCTTCAAGATGTATCTCAACAGCTTCACACTACAGACACCATGAGTTGCCACCCCACTTCTTCTTGACCTGCTCTAGACACAGTGAGAATCCATGAAATTAGGGGAGATGGGCAAGATCCCACAACGTCCTTGCTGGACCATCAGATACAGAATCACAGAATCACAAAGCGGTTTGGTTTGGAAGGGACCTTACAGATCATCTGGTTCCAAGCCCCTGCCATGGACAGGGACACCTTCCACTAGAATTTGACCACATCTCCTGACCTTGCATGCAGACAAGTCCTCTTGGGCCAGCATGTCCATAAGACCTGTCCCTTGAAGTTCTCCAGCCCACTGGCACAGCCCCTTTGAGCCAGTTCCTCACACCCTTCCCCATTCACAGTGGACACAGACATCCCCATGGGTGGTGTGACTCCTCCCACTGCCTGGGCACTTCGGCCACGGCTTCACTAGGGGCTAAAACAGTCAGATCGTCTCCTGCACCAACCCCAAGCACAGCAGGAGAACCAAGGTGAGCTGTAAAACTTGCACACATGATGGCTACTGAAATACCACGTTCTGTTGCCAAATCCTCCCTTGGCTCAGGCTCAGCCGTGCTCACTTCACCTCCCTCTGGAGGACTCGGCGAAGTCAAGCCACATACACACACACAGATGCAGCAGACCCTACCCCTACACCCCCTTCTCACACATCTGGGTTTTCAGACCTGAGCAGAAGGTTCTGAACGGTCTTTAAGCTTCTTTTACATCCCTGCTCCACCATCCCAGGAAACAGCTCTCATCATTACCCAGCTGGGTCTCTGTCAGTCAGTCCTGACTGACACTGGAGTTCCTCTATGCTCCAGGACACTGGGAGTCTCCAGAGGTGAGTCCCTGTTGCAGGCTAGAGAGGGGCTGATGCATCTGAAAGACCTCAAAGCACGGAAAATGCTTATCCCAATTTGCTCATCCACTGCAGGAAGCCTCCACCAATCCTGTGCCTCAGTTTCCCAAGCAGGGACCTTCACTCCAGGTGCCAAACTGGTTCCACCAAGGATGTCACTGAAACACTTCACAGGGCTTCTCCTTTTTTTATTCCATGGCTGGGGGCAGGGGTAGGGGGCAGAATTGCCACATCCCCAGATGGCACCCCTGGAGCTCTATCCCATCAGGGAATGTCCAAGCTGGGCTCCCAGCCCCAGCAGCTCTTTTGGAGGTCCCACACCTGCCAGCCAGTGCCATGCTGGGCATGGGGTGGAGGAGGGGGAAAGTTTATGCAAACCAGTTTGCAAGTTTTAAGAGCAGTCATAAATAAAGTGTAAAAGGCACTGTCTGGTACACAGAGTCCAGGCGCTCCTCTGACAGCCCTGTATTTATGAAAGGCTTAAAATGCAACTTAGCTGAGAAGGGACAAGTTAAAACACACTGGGCCCTTGACATGTGGCATCCCAGAGACTCTGCTCATATCTCTAGATCACTTCCCACACACTTGCCTCACTCAGTTCTCGGTTGGGAATACTTTCTCAGTACTTTGGGAGCCTGGAAAACTCTGTAGCTCCAAAAATACAGCCTCATGAAGCCTCTCTGAGCTCCTCAGGGTAAAGAACTCAAGCAAAGTCCCAAACCTAGAAGATCCCCATGGGCTCTGGAGCAGGCAGACGGGGCCCAAATTCCCCCCACTCCTTCCCAAGGGAATGTTCAGTTGTCTAGAGCAACTTACCCTCCCCCTTACCATGGCATTGGTAGCATTTGCTTTTCATCCTGGTCCTTCCCTTCTTGGAGCACCCAGTCCCTCAGCACACTGGATCCAAACTCGCAGGACGGAGGGATCCCATGAAAGCCCTTTTCTCCAGCAACCACGTTAAAAAGAAATGAAACAGCAACTTTCAAGCTCCTGGGGAAAACCACTGCCCTGTGCTCTCCAGAGATGCTGATGTTTAAATGCCTCCAGCCAAAACATGGTTGCATTCAACTATTGCCCCTGAATTACTCAGAAAGCAGCACATTCGGCCCAGTAACCTGTGACTCTGATAGTTTTTTTCAGCTGGGAGTGCAAATCCCCTAAAATAGCCTCTTTCTGTGGGCAAATTCTTCTTTTCTGACTTGCCTTCAGGCCTCAGCATTTCTGCTTCTCACCTATTTTTAGCCACGACACTCTAGGTCCCTTGGCTGATGAGCCTGCTCGTAATTAATTTATTCCTGTCTTCATTCTCCCTGAGCACTCGGCCTTGAGAAAAATCCGAGGCTGCAGAGGTGGATGGTGGAGAGAAGACCACAATTTGATTAGGATCTTGTCACCAGACCCGCCCTGCTCTCAGCCATGGGGCAGCTGGAGCCCTGGCACCACGAGATGTGCCTTGCAGCAAAACTGAAGTGCTGCAGAGCTGGGGGGTGGGTGATCCTGGACCTCCCTGCTCCAATTCTACTTCTACCCCAAAGTTCCCAGCTCTTTATTACCAGTCCTGCAAACAGACCCCAACACTTCCTCCCAAAGCAGAAAAACCCTTTCTGTCCCCACTCGTCATGGTTTATGCACGATTTAGGGGCTCTGCTACCACCAGCAGGCACCTCCAAAGAGTGAAAACATCACGTAATACCTGTTTCATCTGTGGGAGATGTTCCATTCTCCTCCTAATCTGGGTACCACAGCAGCCCCGGCGGAGGCAACGAGTCAGACCAACATCCCTCGTGCAAGAACAGCTGTTGTGTTTCTGGATCTGGTGCCTCTGATGAGCCCAGGAAAGCCAAAGCACCAAATTCGTCCAGATTTTGCTCTCCAGGACTCTGCGCAGCCCCATCCATGCCCCTGCCTTCCCGCCCCCTCAGCCCCCCTCCTTCCCGCCGGGATGAGCAATCCAGTGCTCACAGCGCTCCAGGAGGACGCTTATTTGCCTAATGCACTGCTGGCAGCGGGCAGGTTGTAAATCACCCTGACACAGCCACCGACTGACTCCGCTGGGATTCCGGGAGATTAAAAGGGAGAATAAATGTAGGGACACAACAGGTCCTGCTCCGGTTTGCTCAGAGCTCCAGTGGCTTTGCGGTGTTGCAGGGGGTGCTCAGCACCCATTGGTGGGGTCCCAGTGCTTTACCCAAGCCAAACGCACCTCCTGGCCCCAATTAAACCTCCAGTACCCTCCAAGCTCCTAAACAGCTCCGGCCAAGTCCTTCCAGTTTTTTTTTTCTACAAGTGCCGAACCTTCTTTCCCTTCCCCATGCCAAACTTTTGTCTGCCCCTCTCAGCCAGGTGGGAGCAGGAGTGAGAGAGAGCAACAGATGGACATGGAGATGGACAAGGGATGGACATGGAGAAAAGTCCCCAGCGTTGTTTTGAGAGGAGTAATTTCCCCAAATTGCCCCTGCCCTCGTGCACTCTCGGAGGGGAGATGCACCCGTGCTGGGTGGGATCTGGGCAGAGGAAGGTGTGCAAGTCAACCCCCTGCTCTGCGACATTTCTAGCCCATGGAAGGGGGGTCCCAGCACTACGGCACATCCCTGCCAGTCCACGGAGCCCCTTAGGCCCCTCATCAGCACGCAGGGGTGTGTTCGGCGCTGTACAACCCTTCAAAGCAGCTAGGGACAGCACCAGGCAGAGGGGGACACAGCCATGTCCCCAACAGTGCCGGACGGAAAATCTGGGACATCCTGGCCATGGAGATCCATGCAACACCTGCCGCGGTCAGGAGCCTCCCCGTGTCCCCAGCCATGCCCGCAGTGCACCCCTGCACATTCTTGAAGATTGAAGGAACGGGGAAACTGAGGCACGGAGGGACGCGGAGCAGCCGGGAAGGGAGAGGGGGACACTTACGAGCCCGGGCTCGGCTCTCGGAGGCGAAGAGGAGCAGCAAGCACCGGAGGAGGAAGACGAGGGGACCCGCCCCGGGAAGCATCGCAGCCCGGCGATCGGAGTCCGTCCCGGTGCCGGGTGCGCTGCCCGATGTCCCGAAGCTGCTCCCGGTGCCCGGTGATGTGTGCCCCTGGTGTCTGTGCCGGGGGCTTTGCTCCCGCTGTCGGTGCCCGACGGTGCCGAAGTTTCGATGCCGGTGTGCGATGCTCGGAGGTACCGGGGGTGCCGGTGCCGTCGGAGCCGGCAGAGCTGCGGTGCCGGTGGCAGGAGTGTCGGAGCCCTGGCGTGCCGAGATGTCGGGACTATCGGTGCCCGGGGTGCCGGTTCCCGGGGCTGTCTGTGCCAGAGGTGCCGGTGCCGTGGGATATGGATGCCAGGGGTGCTGCGGTGCCGCTGTCGCTGTGCCGGTGCCGGGGGTGCCAGTTCCTGGGGCTGTCGGTGCCCGGAGGTGCCGCGGTGCCGGTGTCCGGGGGTGCCGGTGGTGCCGGTGCCCGTGCCCGGCGGGGCTTGTCTCGCTCCGATCAAAGGCGCCTCCTTTAGGGAGAGCCGAGTTTGTTTGTTGGTATTAAAGGCGGAGATAGGGTGGGGGGGGGGGGATCCGCAGGGTGGGTTTTGTGTTGTTTGTTTGGATTTTTTATATCTATATATAAATTATTATTATATTCCTACTTTTTTGGGGGGTGTTTTAGGAAATTCCTCGGCGGCGGGAGGGCGGAGGGAGAGCGGGCGGGGAGTAGTGTGGGAGCTGCAGGGTTAACCCCTGCCTCCCTGCAGCCCGGCCGGGGAGCTGGAAGGACCCGCTGGGCTGGACCCCGTCCCGGGGGGCTACGAGCCAAGACGTGGCATTAATGGGATATCTCACACACACACACACACACACACACCCCAACCACAAGGGGCTGCACTCCTTCTCCCTGTCAAACCCACCTGGACACCCGGCTCTGAGATGCTCGAACGCCCTCGGGAGAGGTTTAAAGCCCCGCGCGGGGCTTGAGCCCTCGCAGACGCATCTGCCCCACCCCGGGGTGAAGCCCTGGCACAGCCCTGAGCATCCCACGCTCCGAATGGGGCAAAGCAGAAATCCGAGGTGTGCAGTATTCCTTCCCAGGGCTCTGCTTCACCACCAAGGTCCTACAGTGCCATGAAACCCTTCCCAATAAACCCCAGTTCCCTTTCTAGTGCCATGGAGAAGCTCCTTCTCTCCTGAGGCAGTGGAGGCAGCACACAACAGACAGAGGTTTCAGCGAGACAAAGCGGTCGAGACCTCTCCCCACCAGCTGTCTGACATTCTTGAAGCTGCATAAAGCCATTTACACGACCAGCATAGCCCCTGCCTACAGCAACACCCCCACCTCGGATCCCAAGCCACAATCCCAAATCCTCCTCCCACCATCCCAGCAACGTGGACAGTGCTCTCACTTCAGCTGCCCTTCATCTCCGCATGCCAGGAATGAAATGCCATCGGCTGGAAAGCCTCTGGTCACAGTCACCCCTGGAGAAGCCACCTGGCCTCTACACCACTTTGCTTCTGTTACTGCTGCTCCCCAGTTCCTCCATGAAGTGGTCCAGCTCTGGCTGCCAGCCCTTCTCTGCCTGTCTGTGAGGCTCAGCTTTCTGCTCTCCAGGATTCCTTAGACTCCCAAGACCAGATTTTGTCTGTTTTTTTCCCATTCTACTGCTCCACCTTTGCAACTTGCACTTCCAGGAGTGCTCAGAGCAAGACACTTCGTTAGCACATGAAATACAGGCTTTAATGCAGAGCTGAACACCTTCATCAGGATGTTCCATCATTGGGAAGGCTTGGGTGGAGGTTCGAGACATTGCAGGAGCCCTGGGTTTCTCCTTTGCAAATGGTTTCATGTCTCTTCCCACCATCTACTTCAGCTTCCTCACACCACTGGCCAAGGAGAGATTGTCACCACCTGCGATCCCTTTGGTGACCGGAGATCTCCTCCATCAGCCAAGTTCTTTATTTCCTTCCATTAATTCAAGTGTGGGACTGGGCTTTCCAGGCTAGGAGATCTTTGTGCCCAGTGCCATCCCCCTTGAGATGTGGCATCAAGCCACCAGTCTGCCAAGAGCTTCAAGGTCTCCCCGAGCCCCTTATCCTGCTCACACCAGCCACAAGCCCCATTTATCACAGAGCTGGAAGCAATCAAGGGGAATTTCTGCAGCAAAACCTCTTCTTTCCATCCACCTCTTACTTCTGTCTCTCTCTAGCGCTATCCCAGGTGCCAAAAACATCCCCCTTTTCCAAACCATGTTTGCAGGTGCCTGTTCCTGAGGGAATCTTGGTAATAAGAAACCTATTTTAATAACTCTTTGATCACCAGCTTTGTTATTTTCTCTCTACACATCTCTGGCACTGGTCCTCTACAGAAAGCACAAGCACTGCCACCCCTCTTGCATTTCAGGGCCAACCAGAAATGGGAGTTCTTCTCGGGAAGAATTTCTTCCGTATTTCCAATCTAACCTTGCCCTCTGTCAGTGAGATGACATTCCCCCTTGTCCTCTCCATCCAGACTCTTGTCCAAAGTCCCTCTCCAGCTCTGTTGAAGCCCCTTTAGGCACTGAAAGGGGCTCTAAGGTCTCCCTGGAGCCTTCTCTTCTCCAGGCTGAACACCCCCAGCTCTCCCAGCCTGTCTCCAGAGCACAGGGGCTCCAGCCCTCGGAGCATCTCCATGGCCTCCTCTGGACTCACTCCAGCAGCTCCACATCCTTCTTCTGTTGTGGACTCCAGAGTTGAAAGTTCTCACCACCTACTGCAGCTTCCCTTATTTCACTGCTCTGCTCATTTCCAGCTCCCTGTAAGTTTTGCTGGCAATGCCTCTCTATTTTCTCCTCGTGCCTCGATAAAGATATTAAAGGAGTTTGGGTAAACAGCAGGCTCCTTCCATCTCCCACCACGAACAGCCGGCACCTTCTTTCCCAGCTTTTCCCTTGCACAGGGCAGACTTGAAAAGCCCATTTGTAGCACAGGTCTGTGGGCAAGTTATGAAAGTGCTTAGAAAAATGGGGACACGAAGCCCAAGTCAATGAAGTTATTTTGCGCCTCTGCTGTAACAGCAACAGCTGAATTCAGGACTGTAGATCCTGGCCCCGCATCAGGGCTAAAACTTATGAGAAAGTTCAGGCCTGTCCTAAGTGCAGACCCAGGAAATAAAGGCCAGCCTTGTCAGGAGCAAGGTGCTGTGTTACATCTCTGTTGGGTCTCATAAAGAATACATTCACGCTTTGGCAAAACCCAGGCGCTTTATCTTCATCTGCAAAGGAATCTGTTTGACAGTTCAATAGTGCCAACATCAATCCTTGCATCGAGCTCCAAAACCCATGGCACTGGCCTGCAAATAATAAAACCTGGGTCTTTTTTATTTGCCTCCTGGTTCCTGAGTCTTTAGGTCTGCATGTTTTCTGGGCACTTGAGAAGATGAGACGATTCCTTTTCTTTTTTTTTTTTTTTTTTTTTTTTTCCAGGGGGGAGGAAGGAGAGAGAGAGAAAACTGAGTTTCTCCTACAAACTGAGTAAACAGCATGGGCTCCATCAACACCCCCCACCTTGAGAGCCCCGTGGCAGGATCAGGAGCTGACAAGGCTGCAGGCTGGAGGAGCTGGCTGCACGCTGGACCTACCCTTGGAAGTTTGTAGTGCTGCATCCCTGACATTTGATCTGACGTGGGCTGGGAAAAACACACACATGAGGGCTGTCAGCTGCAGGCAATGGAGCTGGAAACCTGCAGGACCATAAGATGTTGGAAGCTGGACTAAAGAAATCCTGCTGCAGCAGTGAGTCCTGTCCCAGGAATTGAGGAGCTGCTGCATCACTTGATGTAGCTTGACATGGCTTTCTTCTGCCCAGGCATGAAGGCTGCCCATGCCAGGGAAGGCAGGAGTTTATGGAATCACGGAATTATTAAGGTTGAAAAAGGCATCTAAGATCATGGAGTCCAACTGTTCCCCCAGCACTGCCAAGGCCACCATTAACCCATGTCCCCAAGTGCCATATCCACACAGCTTTTAAATCCCTCCAGGGCTGGGGACTCCAGCCTGGGCCAGGGCTGGACAATCCTTCTGGAGAAGGAATTTTCCCTCATATCCCACCTAAGCCTCCCCTGGCACCACTTGAGGTCCTTTCCTCTTGTCCTTTCCCTTGTTCCCTGGGAGCAGAGCCCAATTTCTACCTAGTTCCACCCTCCTGTCAGGGAGTTGGAGAGCGTGAGATGGTACCCCCTGAGCCTCCTTTTCTCCAGGCTGAGCTCCCCAGTTCCCTCAGCCACTCCTGGTGCTCCAGACCCTTCCCCAGCTTCATTCCCTTCTCTGGACACGCTCCAGCCCCGCAATATCCTTCTTGGAGTGGGAGGTCCAAAACGGCCCCCAGGACTGGAGGTGCCTCATGGTCACTGCCACACCAGTGCTGACACAAGCTGGGATGCTGATAAGGCACCTGCTATCCAGGATGCATTATCCATGATCCTGCAGTGAAAACCACAGTCCCCTCTCAGATAACAGCTAAATCAAGCAAAATCCATATTTTTGGTCTCTTCCAGCCCAAACCAGTCTATGATTCTAAACCATCTCTGGGCTGCAGAGTCAATCTTGCCTTGCTGCACAATGCCCAAGGAGCTCCTCTCACAGCTCTGATCCAGGGGGAAGAGGAGAGCTGACAATCATCCTTCAGGTTGAGCCTTGGCCTCTTTTATGCTGTTCCTTCTCATGCACTGAGGCAGTGGTAGAGCAACGCTGTAATTCACAGCAGTGATACCATGGGAGAGGAGCTCACTCTTTCCAGTGAGTGATGGTGTAACCCTTGAACTCCTCACTGGGCTCCTTGCAATCACCTTTGCAGCCAGTCTCCTCTTCCCAGAACCTGGTTTTGACTCAGTGATGGCAAGAGATGTGCCTGCAAGCCAGAAGTCAGCAGCGAATGTCCCCTGGAGCTGCAAGGAGTCACATCTCCTGCAGGCAATCACCACCTCCTCATGTGGCCACAGTTCTAAAACAGACATCACTTTATCCAGCACCTGATTCTCTGCTCCTATCCTGATTTCTCTGCTTCTCATCCCTCCCTTTCACCATGGAGCA